TGTATTTCAAATAGACTAGGATTTAAAAAGTGGCACATCCCTAAATAAAAAATTCAAAAAAGGAGCCCCTTCCCATGGGTTTTGTGTGCAAAATACACCTGAACATCAGCTGCTTGTTACAGAAAAGAAATTTGCACAACAAAGACTTGTATGGAATGAATTTAAACAGCAAACACTAGAAGCTTGTAACAAGAGTAATTATGTCATTTTTCTTGAAATGTGCATTTTTTTTGGCTGATACCAGCAGTATCTAGTATTTTGGTTCTTTTTTTCTTTCCCATTTTTGATTTTTTATCATTCTTTCTCCTTTTCTGCTTCAATAAAGATGAAAATACAAAAATAAATCTAAAAATAAATTGATTATCCTACTGAGATAACTCCATTGCCCTGGGTTGTGGTTGAACACGGGAAACTTTTTCCCAGGAGTGAAAAAAACAAAGAGTGATTATGCCAAATCAAAACTAGCCACGTGGAAAAATTCTCACACAATACTGTGCTTTGGGTGGATATTTCAACAGGTGATTAATATTTACTCACTGGAGAAAGTTTGCAACAACTGAATCTTCGTCAAACACGTAGCTCAAATCAAGTCCTTCTGAAGCAACAGAATGGCCTTTTCTGAAAAAAAAAGAAANCTATGAAGGAAGTTTTGAAAAAAGATTATGCCGGATACTGGCTACCTTGCTTTGAACATAGTATGGAACCCCTCCCCACGTCCTCTCCCCACAGGACATATGACAAAAATTTTTAATATGTATTTTCATAAAAAAATATATCCATACCCATCCCATGAGGTAGTCATTAGGAATTACAAGGAGAAGGAGGGTAGTGACGGCCATTTTGGAACAAAAATATGAATCTCCATGTAAAGTGGAATTTCCTGAGAAGGGTAGAGGAGTCAAACTAATGAATAACCTCAATGGGGCACGAAAGGTCTGGACTAACATCACCAAACAAAAGTTTAACAGGGTTCCCTGGCCCTCCCCCAAGGGTACAGCTGTATTGGGTGCAAACAATAAGCCAAACATCTGCTTGCTTACTATAGAAAAGACAATTTGCACAATCAATATTATTACTTAAACTGCAAACACAAGATCAAAACCAGAGTAATAGAGATGTAATGTTTTTCTCCTTGTTTTGTTTTGGTCAGATACTGGCTGTATCAAGGCCCTCTTGGGTTATGTATGTCCCTAGTCTGAATTTTAAAACCTGTCGTTTTTTTCGCTTTTCTCTGTCGCTGTCACAGTTTCAACCTATCTTTGTGTCATTTGTCGCCATTTCTGCTGTCTTATGTTGCTGTTTCATGGCCATGTTGCTTGTCAGAATTTTTCCTAACAGGGCCTCTGTATCCAGTATTTTGCCCCCTTTTTCTCGGCATATTGCTTCCATCAGTAAACATTAGGCAATCTTGTATTTCAAATAGACTAGGATTTAAAAAGTGGCACATCCCTAAATAAAAAATTCAAAAAAGGAGCCCCTTCCCATGGGTTTTGTGTGCAAAATACACCTGAACATCAGCTGCTTGTTACAGAAAAGAAATTTGCACAACAAAGACTTGTATGGAATGAATTTAAACAGCAAACACTAGAAGCTTGTAACAAGAGTAATTATGTCATTTTTCTTGAAATGTGCATTTTTTTTGGCTGATACCAGCAGTATCTAGTATTTTGGTTCTTTTTTTCTTTCCCATTTTTGATTTTTTATCATTCTTTCTCCTTTTCTGCTTCAATAAAGATGAAAATACAAAAATAAATCTAAAAATAAATTGATTATCCTACTGAGATAACTCCATTGCCCTGGGTTGTGGTTGAACACGGGAAACTTTTTCCCAGGAGTGAAAAAAACAAAGAGTGATTATGCCAAATCAAAACTAGCCACGTGGAAAAATTCTCACACAATACTGTGCTTTGGGTGGATATTTCAACAGGTGATTAATATTTACTCACTGGAGAAAGTTTGCAACAACTGAATCTTCGTCAAACACGTAGCTCAAATCAAGTCCTTCTGAAGCAACAGAATGGCCTTTTCTGAAAAAAAAAGAAAAAATGCAAATAAATGTATGACCATGTGTAATGAGCTGATACATTGAAATCAAAGTAAAATTATGTCTAATTGATCTTATCACTATTGTCGAAACAATCTTGCCGGCTACGACCCAAGATCAGCCCCACCGAGTTAAGATCGCGATAAGGTCTACACTTCCGTGTGACTCGTTGGATTGCATAAAAAAAAAACCGATACTAGCCTTAGCGTTTACGGAACTGGAAGAGATACTGGACTTTTACTATGAATGTCTTCACGCGACGGTCAATGCATGTTTTTAATTTAGGAAATTATAAAACGTACCAAAAGCTTTCACCGGGGTCCTTGTATGAAGCTATTACCTGAAAATAGATACTTTTTGCTCTTTAGAAGAACATTCCGGGACAGGCTCTCCAACGTTTTTCGAGCAATCTACCTGCAACATTTAAAACTGTAATTATTTGGGTCGCGCGTTTAAGCACATGTTCGTTGGCGAAATTAGAGCAAATAATTTGAACTATAATTTTAAACAATTAAATAGCTTACCTTTGCTAATTCAAAACCAAATGAATCTAAAATGTTTGAAGATCTAGTAAACACCGTCATAAACTTTGGGTGAGACTTTCTGAATTCTAGAAATATAAATATTATTGTTAAATCAAAGGAAATTTTATGAAAGCTAATCGGTAACATAATGAACCCTGATAAAATACAAACAACAGTTCTCACCTGGTTTATCGAAAAATACTGCAATGAAGTCTTTTGTCGTAGATTCTCCTATATTTCTTAAATCTTCTGTGGTTAACAGCCTAACTTGGCTGCCAATTCCAAGACAGAAAAGGCTATAAACAAAGATCAAAACTTCAAACCTACAGGACGTCGATGATCTGTGAGCGGCCATATTGCACGTACTACAAGAACAGAGCAATCTCGAAAGTCTTTAATTTCTTGTTTCGAATTAGTTCTTAATCTGTTATTGTGTCCGAGATTTCATGGATTTTCAGGACTATAATGTACGCCTCCTTCCTGTTCTATTAATACTATAAAATAAACCAATAACAAGCGGACTCGTACTTGAAACCAATCAAGTCTTACAAGTTGAAAAGAATCTGTAATTGCAGCTGAAGCGACTTCCAAATATCCACGCATATTAAATCGTTTCAACTGTTTTAAAATCCCTTTCTTGACAAACAGCCGTCCTTTATCTCGACAAACAATAAGATGACTTGGGCAATGAAGCTATATTAGCATTCAGTAATGTGGGTTTCGATTCGATCGATGCAAATTATGTTTGTCACGTTGATTATCGCTTGTGCGACGTCACGCAACTAATTTGCAACTTTCGATAAGTGTGACACGCTATTTTTAAAACTTCATCATATATTTATCTTCAGTCAAAACGACATTCAATTGTACTGAACCGGCACGTTGACATATTAAACGGGAGGGTGTGGCATCGCTATATGGTATGTCATCGCTATATTCCAGTTATATTACCAGATATAAATTTTCAACGACAAATGTTTCAATCGACGGTATCACAAATAAATAGCCAGACGGTAGAAAATCTGGGTAGAAAATTTGTTCCGATCGACTTCAGAAGGAAGTATAAACGGCTACAGCTGGCGGAACAACAAGGTGAAAAAGTGAAACCTGTAATTTAAAAAATATCAATATATGTCGCGGAGAAAAAAAATCAAGGGGCAAGTCCGCAACGCAATTTTAGGGAATCTCGTCTCGTCATGGTATAGCATATCACTTACTTAATTAATTGTGTATTAAATAAACTTGAGGGGTGGTTTTCCGTCTTTTTTCACTGTTTTATTTTGTCCAAGGTGCAGAAGGCTCCTCGCTTAAAGAATGTTAGGTTTTACCGAAATATTTCTGGAAATGCCTGTACACTGTTAAATTGTAAGAAGCAAAACCAAGCGCACCTGCCACCGATCTTACACGGCAATTCTTCGAGTCCCAGAGAAAAAAAATCTTCCGTAGGTGAATAATAATCAACTAGTCGGTTTATATGGTTAATCAATAATCAAGCAACTCATCTGATCTCCTCCTCCCTAGAAAAAAAAAGGGGGAAGCCTACGATATAAATGAGATAGGATCGGAATACTTCTCGGCTTCACATTTGATTGAGTAGGGGGGGGGGGGGGGGGAGGAGACTATCAATTTAAGCTATGTTCACGCTCTTGCGTCAACGAGAACTAGAGAGGGGGCGTACAGTCCAGAGGACATGTGAAGACAAAAACACGTCGAGAAGTCCCTCAATTTCCTTAGGGACAGTGGGGCGTCAGCGTGCAAATTATAACGCCAGCACGCGTTAAAATTGCTAACCGAGAGGAAGGTATTGTGCGAGCGGAGTCCTCTTCTAAGACTCTTCGCCCCGCCGCCAGAGTGTCTCGTAAAACTTACCCACGAGCTAAAATAGTTTAAATGCCCCCACCCCGGATAACCCATCTTTAATACTGAAAGGAATACCCCACCACGCCACTAAGTCATGCCCTCCTAGATCCTAGGACCATAAACCATCGATCCTTTGGCGCTGACCACAAGGATTGCAGCGGAGATATGATGCCCCGGGGGATGCCCCAGCCAGAGGGTGCTCAGCCAAAGCTTCTTATATTATAGGTTAAGGCCCTTTCAAACTATTTTGACTATTTAAAGGAAAAAACCTCCCAAAACATTCTAAGAAGATTCCAAACTGTTAAATACAAACCCCAACTTTGAAAAACCATTCTGATTATGTATTACTTTAAATTCTCCCGTATAAAAGGTACGTACATTGTCAGGAGCCCTGACATTGTATATTTCTCTTGCGAATAAATTTAATCCTCCTGTATTATGTCATATGCCAAATCCGTGTCCAAAAACAACAGTAACGTGAAACGTTTATTATTCGAGCAAGTTGTCCTTTCTTCATTCGGTCGGGTGCTGGGGCAGTAGGTCGAACAAACAGCGGTTCTCGCGGTTAAACAATGGCGAATTCGGACTCTGGACCTAAAAGAAAGTTTTCGTCGGAGAAAAATAAAGGCTATTACGAGCTAAACGATAAAGAACCCATCTTCACGGCTCGCTACCTTGGAGTGACAAACGTGGACGCGTCGTTCCAGCCAGAAAGAGCACACGAAATCAGCGCGAGATGTGTCGACAAACTTCACAAAAATTTACAAGACAGCGGCAAAAAGAGGAAAGTTTCACTTCTCATATCCACGAACGTCTCCCGTGGGCTTACTCTTACAGAGAAAGGAAGCGATAAAGAGGCCTACTACGCGCTGTACGACATCGCCTTTTGTTCGACAGACGTGCGCGACGAATCGATATTTTCCTTCATTGCTGACTGCGGTGGAGAGCTACAATGCCATGTCTTTGCTTTCAAGAACGAGGAGTCGGCTAAAGCGGTGTGCATGGCCCTATCAAATGCGTTTAGCACGGCCCATGGCGAGTGGATGAGAAAACAAAAGCGAGAGAAAGCCAGGAAAATAAGCCGTCAGGAAATAACTGTGTCTCCAATATACGCATGAAGTTTTTTACTTATTCTTTGGACTAAGAAACAAACCAAGAAACTAACAAAATAGTTCCAAAGAAGAAGACTGAACTGAACGACAAACAATACTTTCCATTACTTCCTTCTAGTGGATCGAGCGGCTTTGGCAAAGAGTAAAAGTTCTGACATTGCTGAGTGCAACAATAGTTACTGGGGTAGTGGTCCTCTTTAATAATACTCGTCAGACCAGTTTGGCGACTTTTCGAGATCTTAGCATGCATGCACTCTGTCTAGCATGCAGTCGCGGATATATAACTTAAAATCGATTTCATTTTGGAAACATTTTCCACGACTACAACTCAGTAACTACAGAACAGTGACAATGAAAATCTAACGCAATAGGAAGGAGACAATAGAAGGCTTTTCCTTCATCTGATACTCTGTTTTCGCTATTTTTGACATGTATGCCGTTGCCAAGCCTAATTTAGACCAAACAAGAGCCTATTCAAAATCAAAAAAATACCACAAATCCGTGGCAAAAATCTAGAAAAAAAGAACCCAGACAGGTGTAAGTCCCAGAGAAGGCACTTAGTACTACTTAGCTTAGAGACAGAGAATTCCCTCGTGATGTTCACGATTATTTTTTGTTTATTCAGGCATTAGGGGCCATTAAACACTCTAGGATTGTAGAGCTCTAGAACCAAGGATTTGTTCCAGAATGAAAAGAAGCTTTCTTGGCTCCGAGTTAAAAGTTATCCCTTGTAATTATTATTTTTTTTGGCGAAAACAATTGCAACTGTTTTATCTGCAATTTGAGCAAAATAAATATTTCACAATTGATTGGGTTACAAAACAAAAATAGAAATTAAAAAAAAAAAAAAAAAAAACGGGTTTTGCGGAACTATTAATCTAGGCCGCGACTCAAAAGCCACCCCCCCAAAAAAAAAAAATTTGGAGTTAAAAAAAAAAATAATTAAAAAAACAACGACAGATTTCCGGCCCAATCCAAATTAAAAGATGAAAAGGATGTTTTTTTGCTTCAAAATAAAATTTTATACTTTTAATTTTTTTTTTTTTGTGGAAAAAAAATTTAAAATTTTTTAATTGAAAATATAAAAAAAAAAAAAATTAAAAATTTAATGGGTTAAAAAAAAAAAAAAAAAAAAAAAAAAAAAAAAAAAAAAAACGGATATCGCGTAACTATAATGCTAGGCTGCGACTCAAATGCTACATTCGTAACAGAAAAAATGTTGACTTTAAAAAGTTAGTTTTTTTCAAGAGCAGCGACTGTTTTGCGGCCAATGCCTGTATGATCACAGGCAGTCACAGGCAGCCCAAGCGTCATATAACCTTGTGTGTGGGTAAAACAACTGAGAATTGCTATCTATAAATAGGCTTAACAAAGCAAAATGCCTCAATAAAGTACGGATAATGTTACCTTGTATTGCTTTATGTCTGCTTTGTGCTTTGTGAATAATACAGTTGACTCCCGATAACTCGAACCCTCCGTGACTCGAACCTCGAGCTAACTCGAACCAAAATCGATTTCCCTAGTTTTCCCTCATACGTTTACTGTAATTTTACCCTCGGTAACTCGAACTTCCCGCTAACTCGAAGTGGTTTTGGTTTTTCTCAGATCATTTCTCTCCAATTTTACCCTCGATAACTCTAACAATGTCTTTTAGCGCTTAAGTTGAGCAAAAACAGTGTACGTGCGTCCGAAACATATTTGGACTATATTTTGTTACGTTACGTGTAAAATTTATCAAATAGAAGTATCTTTCAATTTTCACTTAACATTTCTACAAGTGTAAATGTAATTAAAATATTCACTGTACGGTAAAAACTGTTTTTTCTTGTTTCCCGCTATTTTCTTAACTCGAACTTTTTTCGATTTCCCTAGAAGGTTCGAGTTATTGGGAGTCGACTGTATGTGTATTTGTGGATAGGACATCCCAGTGTGATTTCCAAAAGTATTTCAACTTATAACTGTCGTAATAGAACGCGTCTAGATGGAAAAGAGAGAGCGGTCAACAACAATCGACAAGAGAAATTGGGGCGGATAATTTATAAGACAGCATTCTTGTTATTTCTGACCGCACAACCCTATCCCTTTCCTGTGACGTCAAATTAGTCTATCGTGAAGAAATTATCTTATGCAAGATCCAATTTTACGTGCGAGAGTTCTTTTTACACCTTTCTCTATCTAACAGAGTGGTCCACAAGCGAAACAGCATTGGTACAATAGACCACCCGTCAATATAATATAATAATTATTATTTTTTTATAATTCTGTCCTTGTTTTGGCCCCACGGATAGTGGCAGCGCTGAGAGAAATGTCAAAACTAAGAAAACAAACAAACAAACAGAACTTATTAGAGCACTTTCAAACTTGGAAGTACTCCAATGACTCCATCTTATTCCGTAGGTGTTTTTTCCAAGTTCAAATAGGTACAGAAAGAGAATGTACTGTCATGTGTTCAGGTTCTCCAAAACCATGAATCGGATTGTTGCCTTGATTCGCCGCTGTCACCGCCTTCGTGACAAGAGGTCCCAAATGACGGTTTAACATTCTCTGTTCGCGCAATTCGCGTCAACAAGCAACTGCTCTCATTCCACAGATGGGTACAAGACTTAGCGTATCTAGTTTCACTGCGTGGCTAAGACTGCATTTTCCCTTTAGAATGACGAAATGAGAAGGAAAGTAACACAGACCCCGAAGGGGGGAGGGAAAGGGTAAACCTGCTGTTATCTTGACTTGGCTTTCTTGAGTCTTTCTAAATCATATTTCTCCATAAGTTCTGCTTGCACTTGTTGTGAGGCGGCCAGGTATTTACTGTACTCCATAGCAAATTCTCCTTTGCCCTGTAAAAGGAAACCAAAGAAACAGTGACTTTGATTTGAAGCTGCAAGAAGCTGCCACGGAAATTCAAAACAACTTAAGGGCGCTTACTTATCGAGTCAATGTCGAATGCATAAGAATGGACAAACAAGCTGAATATGATGCACGATGATTAGAGGCATTGATGATGTCGATTAAAGGTACACGGATTACGAATAGCTATGGTGATGGTGACTGTGGTGATGAAAATGATACGGATGTTGAAGAGATGACTGTGGTACTGATGGTGACGGCAGCCCAAGATGTGGCTCCTGGTGATGATGATGATGATGTTGATGATGACGAAGATGTTGACAATTCTAATGGTGGTGGTGATGACGACGATAATGATGATGATGAAATTGATGGTGGTGAAGATGATGTTGCTATTGAATGCAACAGGAGCCCAGATTATGGCTCCTGACGGTGATGGCGATGATGATGATGACAAAGATATGCTGACGATGATGAAGTTGATGGTGATGAAGATGATGATGGTACTGATGGTGACAGACGCTCAGGTTATGAGCTCCTGATGGTGACTAAAATGAAGATAAGAATGATGGTCAAGGTGATAATGACGACGATGATGATGATAATGTTGACAATGAATTTGATGATGATAATGATACTTATAACGATGGTTGTAATCATAGAGACTTTTGTTCTTGGGCCAACGTAGTTTGATAAAAAATAAAACACAAACAGCGGTGATAAAAATTGTGAGTTTTCGCATTTTTATATACTTGACGTTCCGTATGCTATTCAACATATATTTTCAAAAGTGATCTTATGGTTGTAATCGTTCAAAGAATCACAGCCGCACAGTATTATACATGAATACAACTTAATCACCTGAGTATGAGACCGCAACTCAGTGGAATATCCGAACATGTCATTGAGTGGAACCTGAAAAGTGACACGAAAAATAAGTTTTGCTAAAGCTGGAAGGGATCAGTTAACACTTGTTCAGTTAAAAAAGGTTCGATAACATAAGCTTCATATGCGCGATCATATTTACAAATCGTTATTAGCGTAAATTTTGTATTGAATTTTTGCTTCAATATTTGTTCACCTTGACTTAAACATCAACGTTACCTCAGCGTAGATTGTCACGTATCCTTCTGCTGCGTCTGTGCCCGTGATCATGCCGTGTCTGCGGTTTAGCCCACTAATGACCGCTCCCTGTATTAGACAATCAAGACACAACCAGAGTAAATGTAGCTTTTATTTTAAACGTGACACATTTCATCCTCCAGCTCAAACGTGACACAGCCTTGCGGTGGAATAGAAAAAGGAACCATAGGGACACACCTGATAAGCATTACTAGGGGGCACGATACCATACAACTGTTTTAACCATTGTGTCGGTCTAATTTAAGTCATTTCAAGCGAGACATGTCCAAGTAGATCCTTTCTACAACTACACAAAACGGCAATAATTACAGTTGAGTTAGCTCTGACTTAAAATTTATGGTCGCCAAAGACGTTGCTCCCATTTAAAAATCTCAAATAGCGAGCGAAATGTTTCTCCTGTTCAACCTTGTTCCCAGGGTCCTCTCCTACCCGAGGTCGGGACGGGTAGGAGAGGACCCTGGGAACGAAGTTGTCTCCTGTTGACATTGCGGGCCCTTCAATACCCTGCAAAACTATTGAAACCTCGATCTTGAAGTAACATCAACAGCAGGCCGGGCTCGTTAATTATCGGGACTTTCGAGAAACGGGCCCCCGGTCTTGTTCCTCCCGAGGAGGGGGGGGGAGGGAGCGTGGGCTTATTTCCCGAACAGCGGCTGGTCGGGTAATCGAGCTTAGTCCCTCTCCAACATGGTCAAATTGAATAGTTAAATGTTCAGTTTATGCGCGAGATTTTCAACCATGGCTTGTGGAAACGGTGCGCAACCCCAGGCTGAGTAATTGGCAGCAGGCAATTTCAGAAATACGTAACTGATGTGGCACCGGATCTTACCTGGAATTCTTGAGGAATGTTTACTTCCACTGACATAACAGGCTCCAAAATAAGAGGAGAGGCTTTAGGGAACGCTGAAAAAATAAAATAAAAAAGTGACCATCAACACTGGGCTGTTCCAATAGTTCGTTAACGGAACAATGCAACACTTTGATAAGCAACACAGAATAAGACAGCGTGAAAACTGAAACGAAAGGATAAACCACATTTATGGCCAAGTAAAATCAAGGTCATTTGACCTAATCAGTACAGGAAAAGACAACAACAACCGCTACGAACCAGATATATCTAGATCATAAAATACGGAGAAGAAGGGTGCCTGGCGCGCTGCAACAAGTATTAGTTAGCGCCCAACACAAGGAAGCATGCACCATTCAGCCACTACAAGGGCAAGAGCACAAAAATCAATAATCGCAAAATGATGGAAAATATTCATCACTCCGCGAAGGGTAGCATGCCCTACATAAACAGTGAGGAAAAATGGACACCACCTGGCGCCAAGAGGGACAACGCGAATAAGTGAGCGCCAATGAAAGAAAGTTAGACATTAGTTAGCGTCGCTAAACGCGGGACGAAGTAAACAGTTCGTGTCTAGCACTGGGAGACGAGTATCAGTAAGCGACGAGGGCAGCAAAACGAGTGAAAAATACTATTTGGCGTTGAGGGGGGCGGGGGGGGGGAAGGAGGTTGGAGGGATGGGAGATGAGCAAGCGATGACCTCACGCGCAGCCATCCAACCACATGTTAGCGCCAAACCGAAGCGTCAGAAAAGATAATCCCAATGAAAAGATACAAGTTAATGCCAAGCGCAAGAAACCAGAAAAACCGGAAAAAGAGTACCAATCAGCGTGCAAAGGCGGGTGAATTCTGTTCTTAACTTGCCCGACGAGCGAGTGACTTTTTTTAAGGTGGGGGGGGGGGGGGG